AGGGAGGCCGAGGAGAAAGAGAAGAAGACATAAAGGTGAAACACAAAAGATGAATAAAGGGAAGCTTAGGAAGCTCACTGGAAAAGGGAGAAAAATGACATGCAAGGTGTGTGGCAATGAAGGGCACAATCGGAGAACATGCCCATATAACAATGAAGAAGGTAGAAATGAGAGTGCAAGTGCAAGAGTCAAAATCACTGTAAGTATGATTACTTTTGGTTGGTAAAAAGATATGCTTTTTTTTTTGATAATTTAGTTGGTGATTGAGGATATTTTTCCCTTTGAAACTGTATTTCTCCCCTATGAATTTAGTGGATGCTTGGAGGAACATGCTTTAAAACTGTTTTTTTGGTTCCAGGGTGTAAACAAGAGAAAGAAACAGGGAGGTGAAGGTGCCTCAACCTCAGGTAGCAAGAGAAAGAAGGCGAGGGTCCCTACAGCCACAGGGAGCTTTATTGTATGTTTGAAACCATATTCCTTTTTTTTTTATATAAGTTTTATAGTTAGATTGTTAAATGCATTTGCTGGTTGAATGATGTAGGGTGTTGATGATGTTGCTGCCAGTAGTGTGCCTGCAAGACCTACCACAACAGAAGGCAATGAGAAGGCCTAAATATTGCCTTTTAAATGGAGATGTTTTGTTAGTTACTTTTTGTCTTTTTTGAATTCTGGTCATTTAGGGCTTTGGTTTAATCAAATTGTGACCAAATAGGTTAAACCAATGTCATGTCCTTATCTATATAGCTTGTAAAGGTCATGACCAAAAACAATAGTATATATGGTCATATGGATTCACCATTTTCAATATTTTGTAACAGTAAATTGCAAAAACAGCACTTAATGTATGGCCGAATAGGGGATTTGGTTTTGTATATTTTCTTTCAATGAATGGCCAAAAATGGAAATTATTTGTACACCTTGCTTGCAAACAAGTAATAGTGATGGACACAACAAAACAAGACATTTCATTTCATGCAGATTTTTGGCCAAATTGGGTATAACTTCTGGCCATTTCCAAAGTTACATGAAATGCCCAAAAACACACTTAACCACACTCAAATTTCCAACATTCTACCAAAACAAGAAGTTTATAAATGCCAAATTCAGAAATCAAAGTGCAACAATAACACATCCAAGTTTACAGAATGCAGTCTGCATTTTCTTTTCCAACAAATTCTCCATTTCATGCATCCTCTTTTCCACCTTATTAATTTTAGACAGTTGATCACAACCAACTTCTTCCACTGGCTGATTAGTTGCAGTTTCCTCTATCCCCTCGTTCACACTAACACTTTGCCTTTGCCTCGTTTGCTCAACCTCTTCCTCATGACTATGCTTCAACTGCTTCCTTAGCTCAGAATTTTCCCTTAACAGTTTCTTCCTTTCGTTATAGAGGTACCAAATAACATCTTTGGCCCTCTGGGTGAAGTATGTATCATGCCACACAAAGTAATCACACTTCTTCGACACATCCTCTTCCTGTAACCAAATTGAGCATATAAAATCATTGTTCAAAAATGAAAGCCAAAAAAATAATAATAATAATATTTTTTTGAAAGTGAAACCCACCCTAAAATCTGGACATCCATAAAAGCGACGACCTGGATTTGAGTCCCTCCATGCAGTCCACCGTGGAGCAAACTTACCATAGTCACAATGGCGAATGGGTGGTGGGTAGTCGTACTCGGGAATACCATCATATAAGATGAAAGGAGGACAGCTAGACGAAGTCGATGCACCACGTGAAGTAGAACCTCGTGAGAATGAATTTCCATATGTCCTCGACATTTCTCTCTTATCATAAATCGGGGTTGGGTTCAGGAGAAGACAGTGAAAGAGGAAGATCGTGGAAAAGCTCAGTGAGGATTAAGAGGAAAATGAAGACAAACCCTAAATCCCCAAAATGGTTTTGCAGATCT